AAATCAATCATTTCGTTCTTCATTCCTCATGACCGCGTTTGTTTAAAATTCAATTTAAATATTTCCTCTCTCTCTCTAGTGTGTACTATCCAGCGTACCAGAGATCTAATTTTGAATATATATTCTTTTCTTTTCATATGTTAGTTTTTGGTATTGTTATTATTCTGTTAGTATCAGTAGTTAGAACAGTTACAAGTGTAACCTGTTATGAGTGTACTGATTATATTTCATGCGGAATCAATGATCAGAATCCGATTGTTACTAATTGTCCTGTATGCATGGTCTATCGAAATCAGTATGATGCTAGTACGTATTTATCAAAGAATTTTAGTATGATCTTTTTTTTTTCTAATATGCTTTTAGATCGGATTATACGTCGATGTTGTTGGTATGATTGTGGTGTCGACAATTCAATTAAGATCTACGAGGGACGACGAACTTATTTTTGTACATCGCATTTGTGCAACAGACAAGGTTCAGAAAATGCACTCGTCGGGAATTCAGGTGCTATCATCATAAAATTTCTCTGACACATATTACACATCTATATGTGACATGTTAAACATTTCATATTCTCTGTTTCAGAATCTACGTGCAATGATCATGTGAAGAATCAAAATGAAACTGACATTGATTGTGGTGGGCTGTGTGCACCAGAACAAAAATGTGCTGATCATAAGGGTTGTAATGTCGCATCGGACTGTACCAGCGGTATCTGCACATCAAACATTTGCCAAGGTAAGTATGTGATAGAGTTCTGCAAAAATGGAGTAAAGTGTGCTCCTGTCATCGTAGAATGAAAGAACATCTAAAGTAACGCTGTTATTTCAAAATCTCAATTTCAGTTCCTACCTGCAGTGACAATGTAAAGAATCAAAATGAAACTGATGTAGACTGTGGTGGACCATGTGCATCGGTTAACAAATGCACTTATCGACAAAGCTGCCATATTCCGTCTGATTGTAATAGTGGTATCTGCGTACAAAATATTTGTAAAGGCGAGTACTTGTTCATTTCATTTTCCGAAAGTGATCAAACGGAAAGTAAACGCTTATGACACGACTTTGGTCAAGATAAGAATCATTCTTTATTCCTATCCTATTGTAGTGGATCCTATTATCGATGGACATGCGTCTGACGAATTTTACGGAAGAAGCTTCATACACGAGGCAGTATTTCTCACTTAAGAACAACATTGGAAGAGAGAGCAATGGAGACGAAACAATTACTAGTACATGAGAAATAGCACGACGTTACTTTTTATTATGATGAGGACGACAAATATCTAGCGCTTTTCAGAGATTTTAGACGTTGTTTACTACCCCCATCTCTCTCTCTTTTGTATAAGCGTCGATATGATTGAGAAGAAGCAGTATCCGGTGCCAGACACGCATAGCAAGAGAATAATCTAAGAAATGACGTTAAAGACTTGCTGTAAACATTAGACTTCATTATTTTTAAAGTTTACTATTTATTTATCTTTCGTGTTCGGCTTTTTCACTAAACATTCTCAATTTATCCAAAATGTCAATCTTGGAACATCCATATATAATTTTGTATAGCACAATATCTTTTACATCTATTTGTTCTGATGTGCATGAAACTGTGTGTTGGATTCTATCTTAAAACGATTTTGTCCTATCCTACAGCGATATCTTTTCCACTTTCATTTTGGCTGTACTAGGGTTACAAAAAACGGACAATTCACCTCTTTTGTTTTGTTTGACTTCTATAAATCTCATGTTTATATAGGCTTTGTAGCTCCAGTACTACTTATTACCAACAGTGAATTACCCATTGGTGTTTATAATACAATTGCGGGTGGCGATAGCACTTTAGCAACACCCGGTACTGAAATAGGTCAGTATCCCGCAAACCCAAACATGGAGACGCCAGCTCAAGCATTCGATGGTAATGTAAATACCAAGTATACAAGTTTTGGCCGATGCAAGCTTAGCAATTGCAGGAGTGGTTCGGCTTCTAATAATTGTGGCTTAAATACTGGTCTCTATCTAACACTACAACGAGGTGCAACATTGGTCGTAGGCCTACAACTAAGCACAGGAAATGATTATCCACAACGTGATCCACTTATGATAACGTTAGAAGGGAGTAATCAGTCTGGCATAAATCTTACACTCGGCTCGAGTTGGACTCTCATCTATAGTGGTACGAGTGGTCTTGCCACTGATCCAGGTAGAAAAAAGCCTGGATCAATAGTGTTTTTTTCTAACTCGTTGCAGTACACAAGTTATCGATTTCTTATTGCTGCAAGTCGTGCTCCTGACTGCTCTGTTCAATATTCTGAATTAAAACTATTCGGCTTTTAACTTCCTGCTTTTTGGCATCTTGTGTTTCATTGTTAGCGGTTCAGACAGAGATGTATATTGAAATAAAAATATTATTATCTGCGCCCGTCTTGTTATTCGATTCGTGTGTGAGTTTGATGATAACAAGGAGTGGATGATTGAGAAAATGAGTTGTTTTTTATGCATGATGCTGAGTTCGAACTTGTTAATGTTTGTGAAAGATGATTGTTTAATGAAAGTAAAACTGTATACTATGGATAAATCATTCGTTCATTGAAAGTAATACTTTTGGATATGTGTAGTTAAGATAGAGAACATTTAACGGTTGTTAATTGATGAGAACAACAAGATCAATGGCATAGTATTTATACTGATTATTTTTTGGATGTAAATGAATTAGATAATATAATTAAAGTATACTAAAGTAATAACCGTAGCACTATCTCTCTCTCTATATATATATATGTACTGATAGTCCAAACAATGTCCTATAATTTTATAATATTTCATTATTCTTCATTTGCTATGATAATTTTAGAGTTTCAATTATAGCTGAGTCAACTTTGATTTTATTGCAAAAGGAAAACTTTTGCTTCTGTATTTAAGTCTGCACTGCACTACTATCTGGAGCACCGATTATCAAACAACATCTGAAAAAATGGAGCAGATCGATTGCCTTACAAAAGATAATCCTCATATTACAATTGACAAATTTCAAGCACAAACAAATCTGAACCATGGCATCATACAACGAATAATTTTCGAACATTCTAAATTTAAAAAGATTGTGATTCATTAGCTATCTCAACAGCTGATATTGTTGACGATCATGAAATATATGGTCTGAATTAGAAATCTAGAAGACTGTTCTTCATCTTCAACATCTTTTTGACCTTCACGAAACTATTTATATCATCTTTCAACTATTCTAAGAAGTAAAGTATGATCACCGACAATAAAACATATTGTATCATGCCTTGATTCTCGCTTGAATATTAATTTCTATGGCAAAAGTTTAACAATCAGAGAAAATGTAACCAGTATGGCTATCGACTACAAACTTATTGAAAGATACTTTTTAATAGATAATTATGAGCTTATCGAAACTATTACAATAGAAAATAAAACGATGAAATTCAATATAAGAGAAATATACATAAAAATTTATCAAATAGCCGTAGAAAAACAATATTATATGGTGAATAAATGACGCTTTAAATCATGAGATTATATGTAAAGTAACAATAACATACTCTTATTGTGAACATGATAATGCCTTAAAATGAGTGTTTTATTCCATAATCTATTCATTTATTACATTAAAATCGATTGTATATATCACATCTTCTATTAGCTTTTCATGCTGTAACTGTTTTTCCGAATCATCTTTGATTATAATATATATAATGAAATTATTTCAACAATTGCAGTTTTTCAATGAAATCTAATCAAATATTAACAATGTGCGTAATCAAAACTCAGAAAATTTCTTTATTTAATTAACATATCGAGCATGAAATGATTGTGCAGAAAAAAAGAGAAGTGTGTTAATAACGATCTTTTGAATAAAAGCGTTTGATTACTTTATTCTAGATGTTTTTATTACATTGAAACTCAGAATTAAATTCTGTGTCTTGAATCACATTCATTTACTGGCACTGCGATAATTTCTTATTGTGGAATTAATACTTCAAAAATGCGATAGGTTATGTCAAATTTTTTTGTGCCAAATATCTCAGTGGTAAAGCATCGAAAACTTTCTTATCTTCACTAACGAATAAAACATGATACATGCACATAGTTTATTCATTTTCTTTGCTATTTTTCTTTTCATCACAATTCCCTATACTATTTTTATTTTTAATTATCCGTTTATATTTATTTCCTTCCGTGTGTGTGTGAGCTAATGCTTTATTATATAAAATATTAACGTGATTACAGGAAGTAAGAGTCTTAGTCTTAACTTTCAATCTTTTTGAGCAAACATAGTTCACATAAATAAATGTAGAGTTCTATTATAATCCGTATTATAGAATAAGCTCATTGACAAAAAAAAAGAGTCATTTAGATAATATAAGTAACATTTACATTCGAATGAATTCATTGTAAAAGATTGATGTTTGGTCGACTATAAGATAGATTATCAAAAAAATTGAGTATCTTCCATATGCATTCTCAGCTACATCGACATTGTATTTATATATATATATATATTTTTTCCTAAAGATATGCGTGACTATTAAATAATTTGTTGTAATAAAGAAGAATTTATTTTTATTTATGTTTGCATGTCAACCAGTATTTCTTTTGTCAGACACAACATTATATAATCTAATTTGATGTCAGAGATAATTATCTATATAAAATCAATAAAGTAATTGTGAAAGTAAAGTATTAGATTTACTAAAAGTATTTCGTATGTAATGATAATATTCATATGAATTCTAATAATCAATTAATAATAAAATATTATTAAGATTGAAAATTCTTGACATAAGAATAAAGATTCTTATAAATAATGTAGATATAAATATAATTGTTTGTTTGACTTGAAATAAAAAGTTCAAGTAATAAAATGAAAGATTAAATTGTTATTGTTTTATATTTTCAGAAGATATATTATTTCAATGTTTGAAAAATATTGAAACAAAAAAGAATATCAATGAAAAAAAAAAGTTTAAAATGAAAATGTCAATAATAAGGTAGTCCGAAATATTCATTGATCGAATTATATTCAAATTTTGGTTGTGGTGTTGTTTTAGCGAGTTGTTGAATTTCTCTTGTTGGATATAACCAACTTTTTAAATCAGATTTTTGACCAAGACTTTCAATAGCATATGCACTTGCTTGTACCATTTTATCAAGAGCAAATTTATTGATATTAGTCGTTTTATCACATGATTGATGATAACATTTATCTTGTCGAATTCCTGAAATTCCACCCATACCTGCTCCAAGCATATTATCGTATCGATCACGTTGTGCTGCTGTTTTTAATCCATCTGCACCGGTAAAAAGTCCACCTGCAACTATTCCAGCAGCTAAAAATGGTCCATAATCACTACGACCATCAAAATTCGTATAATCATAAGGATATTTATTTCCAACAAACCAATCTTGAAATAATGTTGTCATTTTATTACTTCCAGGTTTTGCAACTGCTGGAGTTGTACTTGTAGCTGTTTTACCATCATAAATACCGAATATAAAATTTGGTGATCCTATCATATCTAAATTAATATTAACCAAATAATCTGTTATTCGTTCACCAACAACAGTTGATTTTTTTGCTTCTGATACATGATAATTGGCACCAAGAAGACCTAATTCTTCAGCACCCCACCAACAAAATCGAATACGATATTTATAAGGTATATAACCTGGTGTTTGTAAAAGACGTGATAATGTCGTAGCTAAAGCAATATTAGCTGCAGTACCACTGCCTATGAAAATAAAAAATAAAGAGAAATTTTTTTTTTTTAATATAAAATATTTTAATTGAACATACCATTATCATTAATACCTGCTCCAGCTGTAACACTATCACTATGACTACCGATAACAATTGTTTGAGTTGGATCACCTGTTAATGTATCAGCACAAATATTTCCAACAGGATTTAATGCACTATCAGTTACAATAGTAAGACGAACAGTTGTTACTTTTGATGGATTATTTGCAGCATTAGCAAGTGTTTGACCAACATTATATGAAAGAAAAAGTGCTGGTACACGATTATTTTGACCAAGATTTATATAAATAGGTTGCATATTATTAGATGTTATACCATCATTATAAATTAATAATGCAGCAACATTGTATTTACTTGCAAGAAGAGCTTTTGTTTCAAAAGCGCAATCACCTCGTTTAACAAGTGCTACAATACCAGTAGGAGATGGACTTGCTGTAATCCAATCATTATCTGAACAACCTAAATTAGGAATAACTGTAAGAGGAAGATTGGTAGTTATATTAATTGATGTTGAATATTGAACATGATAAAAATCTGCTAATGAAAGACTAGTTGAATACGTATATGTTTTAACAACTCCATCAATTGTTGATGAAAATGTTGGATTACGAAGAAGTTGAAAATTTCGTAAATTAAAAAAACTTTTTGTTACTTTTAAATTTGTATTTAATGAAAGATAATTTGTTATATAATCAAGTGTACGATTAAAACCAACTGTTTTAACAGCTCGATTTCCATTTGAAATTGTTGCAATATTTTGTAATTCATCAAGATGTTTCATAATATCATCAATATTCATTGATGATTCATATCGAAGATTAGATAATTGTTTTGAATTATCAATTTCATCTTTATTGATTGTCATTCCCGTTACTCTTGGAATTAAATTCATAGATGTTGACAGAATTCCAATGAACAATATTGTTCGAATCATTATCCAAGTACAACGGAAATGAATTGACATAAACATTTAAAACTTAGATGGAATATAGACAAATACCTTTCATTCATAGGTTTATAAAGACGATGATAAATAATTTATTACAATTTTTATTCGTTTTTTTTTTATCATATTGATTTATTTGAATTTTTATTTTTATGATTATTACAAGTGAAAAACAATCGTTAAAATTTAAGTTCGACAATAAAATGTCACATGCCTAATGTCTTTGATAATAAAACAACAAGATTATTTTTTATTCTTTTTTTGTTTTTTATCTATGTTTTTCAAAATATGTCAAGTTTTATTATTTTTTTATTTATTTTATAATTGAAATAAAACGAAAAGAAGTTTTGAATCTTAAAAGAATATTATGAATTATTAATTTATCGTTAAGCTTTATAAATAGACTTTGTTGATGATGGTTTCTTTTTTTTTTCCTTATTGGATCAACTTGCTTATTATCATATAATAACAAAAAAAAACAAAAATATTCATCAAGAAAAAGCCTTCAAACAAAATAATAAAGTAATATATAAAAATTATAAAATTCAATAATAAGTATTTTTAGTTTTATTTCTAAATGAATTGGAATGAAAATTCTATAAGATAAATTTATCAATAAGATTGAATACTAATAATCAAAAAAATTAATTCTATTCATTTTTATCTATTTAATTAAATTTTATTTCTAAAAATTGACACACACGAAAAAAGAAAAAGAAAACAAAGCGAGATTTTCTCATTAAAATGATTAGTTTATTAATTAAGAATAAGTGTAAAAATGACAAAAATTATAATTTCAAATTTTTTTTGTCTTTAAGAAATTCTTGTGTAGATATTGTTTTAGCATAAGCAAAATCAAGTGCAGACATAAAAGCAGCATGTACATGTTCAGCTGGAACTGTTATACCATTAAATTGAAGTTCACGAGATGCACAAGCATCATGAATAAGAATACAATTATATCCAAAATCATGAGCAGCACGAGTGATTGCATCAATACACATATGACTCATTGCACCACATATAACAATATTTCGAATTTCATTACGATCAAGAATATCTTTAAGTTTTGTTTCTCGGAATGCATTTATATGATTTTTAACAATAACATGTTCATCTTCACGATTTTGTACTTTTGAATGAATTTGAACACCATTTGATCCTTTTGCAAAAAATGGAGCATCATTTGTTGGAAATTCATGACGAATATGAATAATTAAATCATCAGAAGCACGTGCTGCTGATATTAATCGAGCTGCATTATCAGCAGCAGCATTAATACCATTAAGAACCCATTTACCACCAGGAAAATAATCATTTTGTATATCGACTATAATCAATGCTTGCTTGGATTTTTGTTCATTATCAATTAATGGTTTATTTATATCTTCTGGTGTTAAATGAGCTAAATCTTCAATTTCAGCAGAACGATGAAGATGAGGTTGATCAACCATTTTTATTTTCAAAATCTGCCTTTATTATTCACGATCAATTTTTTAATACTAGTGGTAGTATGTATGCATGCACTTTTGTTTATAGAGAAACACCAATAATCTTCCATGCTCCAACTAATATCATTTAATAGTGACATCTTTTTCCCCTTCAATAACAATAACTGATCCAACTACTATAATAGAAAATATTTATGTCAATCAATCGTGAAAATATGTCAATTTAATAAACAATTAACACATCAAAAAAGAAATTTTTTTCTATTGGATAGATATACAAAATTTTTCGTTTTAAATTAACAAATTCAACAGAAATATTATATGAAAATAAATGTAAAATCAACTGATTAAGAGGAAAAGGTGAGATGACATACAACTGAACAGAATGAAGGATAAATCGAATATTTCAATTTTATTTCGAAAAACTTTCATATGAAATTTTCAAGTTTATTTGGTTTTTAAAAAAAAGAGTTTAGCATTTTCAAAAAATATCACTGTTTAATCATCAGATAAGTACGAAAAATCTTGCATGTTTTTTTCATTATTGACATTAAAAATTTCAAAATATATTTTAAATTGTTTTATCTATGTGATGATTTAACAATTCGATCATGTAAGACATTAGTGTGAGAAAAATCTTAAATTGTAAAATCTTCAAGTGTGATATTTACTTCGATGTTCTTAATAAATGACTTCTAAACTTCGTATACTTTTCTTAAATATGATAATTATAAAAATGTCTGCTCTCTATACTTTCAAATACGAATAATATATGTTCAAATAAATCAAATATTGGTCTATTTTTTTTTTTAGAAAATAATCAACAATAAAAAATAATTAGTGCTCTATTATTAATATCCGACTGACATGTTCTATATTTGATGCATTTTTTGTTTTTACATTTGTTTCAAGTTCTATTGTTAATTTTACTAAATAGAAAATATAATTCTCAAAAAAAAAAACAGACAATTTTGTCTTTGAAATAGATTTATCCTTGTAAATGTAAACATCATTCGATGAATAATTATTGCATTATCTAACAACAATTTTCTATTGTTGTATTAATAAAAATTGATATAAAGTATGTTCTTCTCAAGGCCAATGCTGAAAGTAAAATAATATGTTAATGTTAGTTAAAAGACGCCTCTCTTTTCAATGTTTTAAAATTTTCTATTTGAAAATCTTCTTCATTAAATATATTTGTTCTAAAACTTTGAAAACTATAATCAAATTCATAGAACAGTTTGAAATAAGTACTAGAATAAAATAGGATTGTTATATATAGGTCAAAGATAAAAAGGAAAAACGATTGGTTCTTTATGTAACATCCATTAATATTCTTGATGAAATAGCATATGGATATGTTTTTTCTATCATCTGTTTCATTAACTATTCAATTATACCATTCTAATATTCCTTTGACGTGATAGAATATGATAAATGAGTCAGAAAAAAACAAAGAGAAAAAAATAATAACTGTATAAATGATCAAATTAAAAAAAAAACTTGGAAAATTTTTTTTATGCGAAGTTTTTTTTTTTTTGAAAAAAATAAAGAAAAAAAAACTCATTTTAATCGACGTCGACGAATAAAAAAGAGTTCTGAGTTGTTATAGACTCCATAGTATTTAATTCGTCGATTATCATTAATTAATTGTTGATGATCATAAGTAGCTAATGCATATCTTTTCCAAATACTTTTCCAATTGATTTTCTTATTTGAAAATAAATCTTTAATAGCTCTTTTTAATTGATATACACGAGCTTCTTCTGATAGATAAACATTAATTAATGAATTATCAAATCGTCGAATAGATATATTTATAAGTTGTTTTTGTTCAAGTTGATTTAATTTCGAAAAAGAAATTTTTGAAGGATGACATTTTATATCAGATAATAATGGATCAGTGGATAGGATTTTTGATAAACGAGAATATATATTTGAAATAAATTCTTCATGAGACATTTTTTTTTGTATTTATTTATTTATTTTGTTTGAGCTGAATCATAAGATATTTTATCAATTTGTTCTTGTAATTTTTCTTTAATCATTGGTACAGCTGATGTTTGAACAAATAAATGTTGTTCATCTAAATTATGTAAAATAAATTTTTCTCCAAAAGCTAATGTTTCATCTAAATAAACTAAATATTGTTTTACAGCTGGATCACATTTAATTAATGCACCTTTTACCACATTAACCATATCTAAAATATAAGATTTTACTAAAATGTTTTTTGTTTTTTCTTTCTAAAATCATATCGTTGATTTTATTAATAAAACAGTGGATGAAAAGGTAATTTGAAAATTTTATAAATATTTTTAATTATCTATGGAATCGATCAATTGAAGTACTCTATTCGAGAAATAAACGAAATCTATTTGCTTCGATGTGTTTCTCAATTGAGTGACAGATCAGATTTTTTTTACTATATCTATGAAATCTTAAGAGTCAGCTATCTTAATCAGTTTACTGTATATAACTACATCATTTATAGAAAGATTGATATGAAAAATAAGAGAGTATTCGTTATGACATATAAATCTAATATATTATATTTTATTGTTTTAAGATTTATCTGAAAGATAATTTAATTCGTAGATATCGTAAAATTCAAATCAATCTGAAGAGATTCGATAAAGACTTAGCAAAGTCATAGTTCAACAAATTTATATACAGTTAAAAAGATCATTCGACAGCGGATACTAAGTAGATTAATAAAAAAATATCTTAAATTAGTCGTTACTTTTTGTCCATTAGGAGAGAAAAACTCAACAGATGCCTATGAAACGTTATAAGAAAATTATTTTCATCATAATGGCGCATTATCTTAAATAAAAACAGAATTCTCAAAAATTATACGATCATTATATAGATAAACAGAAACTATTAAAGGAGTAGCAGTGACTATTCATTTTTCTTTAAATCATCATTTGTAATGAAATATATATAAACTAGACAACGAACACAAGAGATTGATCTATTGATTCATCAATCACAGTATGGAAAAGAAATACATGAATTTAATAGTCTACTATCTAACGACATCTTTTTCTGTATTAAACTGCAGTGTTTCTAATAGTAAGGCTTCACCATGATGACAATGTAGTCAAGAATCTTGTGAGGTACTAATTTACTATAAACATAGGAAGAATGTGATTTGCATATACAGCACTGCGTGAAGGTGAAAGCAGTATATTTCAAGTGAACTAGTACCGACTTTTTAATATTTATTCATAGGAAAA